ATGTAGGTGCGGTGTATGCAATTATGTGTTTGTGTATTTATAAATTTGAGTTTCTTTGTGTGTGTGAGTGGTTGTGTGTATGTGGTTGTTTGTGTGTTGATGTGTGTGTGTGAGTGGTTGTGTGTATGTGGTTGTTTGTGTGTTGATGTGTGTGTGTTGTTATTTCTAAATGTGTATCAGCGTTCGTTTGTTTAAATGTGTAATGATATTTCGGTTACGACATAAACGATGATTGGATGATGATGGTGAAAAAAATTGAAAAGAGATGGCGAAGACGATGATGATAAACGTATGTGTCTATTTACAGAGGATGACAATGACGATGACGTCATTGCAAAAAATAATGACTCCATAGTGATAACGGCGATGAAGTTATTGATATCATGGTCAAATTTATTTTTGTAACTACGATCAAATAGATCAGGAAAGTATCTAAGACAATGATATTACACATTGTCGAAATGATTGCAACAGTCATATGATGATGATGATAAGATGGTGATGAAGATGATAGAGGTACTATAAATAGATAGATACATAATGATGTTGTTTATATTAAGACAAAATACTCTGGTGAAAATACAGCGAAAATTACTAGTTGACAATAGCTTGAAAAAGAAATATATATATATATATATATATATATATATATATATATAAAGACGATGATTCTAAATAGTAAAACACATACATGTAGTAAAACACATACATAGCACGCACACACACACACACACACACATTCACTCACACATACACATGAGAGGACACGACATACATCCTTTGATGTACACACAACTACGTAGACCAGTAAAGTGAACATGAACAATTCGAACTATTGATTGACTGACGATGATGATGAATGTGTTTATGCGGTGATGAAAGAGAGTGACTAACGTGAAGGAGATGATAATGATGATGATACTGAGGGGTACGTGATGATGATGATACTGAGGGGTACGTGATGATGATGACTCATGTTTACGATGATACTGATGATGATTAACATGACGATGATGTTTTTTGAACGATGAATATGACAGTAAATACTTTACTCACGCTACTAATGATGTGAAAAATGATGAAGATACATTTGATAATAATGCTGTTGAATGATTGATGTGATGATGAAACCGAGAATAAATTTAGATACTTGGCTGATTATTTCACTACATTACACTCATTCAGCCTGCTTCACATTCATTCATTCATTCATTCATTTCCTTTATCAGGTTTCTCATTCATTTATTTCATTCATTCATCCGTTGGTTCTTTATTTATTCATTGAAATATTTCAACGCCACATTCATTCAACTGTTTCGTGTTTCCTTCCTTCCTTCCTTCATTCATGCACTCATTCATTCATCCATTCGTTCGTTCGTTCATTCATTTAAACATTCATTCATTCATTCGTTCGTTTGTTTCTTCGTTCGTTCATTCAATAACAAATTTATCCAAAATAACACAGAGAGGAACTTGATAGGAAGTGAACATACTACGCACTGAAGAGTGCAAACAACATCATTGGAGGATCTCGATGCATCAATGCATCCACATTTTGAACAGGCACGAACACGTAATAATGAAAATACAAAAAGAATAATAACATTAATAAAAATACTAATAGAATGATAATACAGACGTTCACATCAAACATACTAGCAGCAAACACATTTGTTTGTACATACAAAAATGCACACCAATCGTCAAAATAACTTGTGTGTGCGCGCGCGTATGTCTGCGTGCGCATGTATGCGTGTTTAAAACCACAAGCTAACATACAAACCAACATACAAACAAGCATACAAACCAACATACAAACAAGCATGAACATGCATACTGAAAAATTATGCCCTTAACGAATTCGAATCAAAATTAGTTTAGAATAATTTTAAAATGCGTAATGATGAACATATCAATTTGTATGTGTGTTATCTGTTATGTATTTATGTATGTATGTGGCATGTACATATATAATGATACAAACGTATATATATATATATATACATACATACATACATACATACATACATACATACATACATACATACATACATATATACATATATACACACATTTGTGCTGCAACGTTGTAGAAATTCATTCACAAAAAGCTTTTGCTGATCATCAATGGAGATGCTGGTATATATGTAAGTATGCATACATACACATGTATATTTATATACACACAATCATTTGTATAAACTTATGGTCCTATATATATATATATATATATATATATATATATATATATATATATATATACAAACCATACAGCAGCAAATGTTTAAATTATGCTAATGAGTCAGCTATTATGTGCGTGTGTTTGCGTGCGTGTGTTGGGTATGTTTTCATTAATAAATAAGCAGCCAGTACTTATAAGATACAGAAAAATTCATTACCATGAATATACATATACATCATAAATACACATATATAATAGATATTTGTGTATATATGTTTATGCATATATTGTATATATATCTATCTATAGTATATATGCACATATATTTATATATTCAAATTTAACCTATTTAAAACTAATCTTCGATCAATATGCATGTGTATAAATATACTTGCTATACTTATTTACATATAAATCAACTATGTACGTAACGTACACACACGCACACATACACGTACACACACACACACACACACACGTACACACACGCACTCACACACATTCACATACACACACATCGCATCAATTCGTCAATTGATACTTAATAATTAAAACTTTATAAAAAAAAAGAATTTGAATAAAAATAATATATATATATATATATATATATTTATATATTAAAATGCTTTTATTATTATTATTATTAACGGGGTACAGTCTTGCTAGGTCTTTTTGCAATATTTCTGCATCTCCATCGTTGTTGACTTTCCCACATAATTTGGTATCATCTGCAAACTTTGAAATCTTGGAGACTATTCCTTCGTCGATGTCGTTAATGTATATCACAAATAATAGCGGTTACAATACCGATCCCTGAGGCACGCCACTTGTTACGTCTATCCATCTCGAGTTTATTCCTTTTATCCGCACCTGTTGTCTCCTATCTTTCAGCCAATTTTTTATCCATTGTAGCAGATTTCCTTCTACCCCACATGCCTGTAACTTTTTGGATAACCTTTTATGTGGCACCTTATCGAATGCTTTTGCAAAATCTAAATATATTACGTCTACCGAGTTATTCTGGTCTAGGTTAGCATAAACATCTTCAAAAAAATCCAATAGGTTAGATAAACAGGATCGTCCTTTCATAAAACCATGTTGGCTGTCATTGATTATGCAGTTAGAATTTAAGTGCTCGACTATATTCTTCTTGATAATTTTTTCTAATACTTTACATATAATGCAAGTTAAACTAACTGGTCTGTAGTTACTAGTTTCGCTTCTACGTCCTTTTTTGAACAATGGCGTGGCGATAGCGTCCCTCCAATCCCTTGGTATATCTCCTGATCTTAAACAGTCATTAAATATTTCGCACAGTGTGGCTCCTACTTCGTGTCTTATTTCCTTTAAAAATTTTGGGTGCAGCTCATCTATTCCTGGAGTTTTATTCTCTTTGAGACTGCCTAGTATTTCGACAACCATCTCTTCTGTTATGTAAACACTTGTAAGCATCTTTTCTTGGCTTCCCCCAAGCAATTTTTTTGGCTCCTTCATGTTATTTGTATTTTCTTTTGTCAGCACCGATCCAAAGTAGTTATTGAGCATCTCAGCCATTTCTTTTTCTTCCGTTACAATGTTGCCATGATCAGTCTTCAGAGGCCCCACTTTATCTTTCCTTTTTTGTTTACTTCTCATGTAACTGAAAAAGCTTTTACTGTCTTTACTTATGTTCTCACTTAGCTTTTCTTCAAATTCCTTTATTACTTTCCTGTTTGTTGCCTTTGCTAGATTTCTCTTTCTGATGTATTTATCCCTTGCTGCTTCTAACTCACTTTTTGAGATATCTCTAGCATTTCTGAGATATCTCTGTCTTAACTCCTGCATCTTCTTCCATGCCTTAAATTTTGATCTTCTTGTTTTCTGTACATTTTTATTTATCCACGGTAGCTTTTTGTTGCTTCTCCGGATAGTCGGTATAGTTTCTTCAACAACTTTATTCATACAGGACACAAAGGTTTTCCATTTATTTTGCACTCACAAATCTTTCAATCGCTCTGCCAAGTTCATCTCTATGATTTTATTTCTGACCTTGTCGTAGTATACTTTAAAATAATTGTAGCGCTTTGAATAAGCCTCGTCTTCTTTTTTCTGCTCTAACACTATGTTGAATCTAAGTATCCTATGATCGCTCGTTCCAAATTCTTCTCCTACCCTAACTTCTTCTATTATGTTTTCTTCTGTTGATATTATTAAATCTAATATATTTTCTCCCCTTGTTGGCTCCATCACATGCTGAGTAAGGAAGTTTTCGTCTATGCAGTCCAGAAACAGTTCGTCTGCCAGCTTTTTGCCTTCTCTATGATTCCAGTCAATATGGTGGTTAAAGTCTCCCATTATTACGCAAGGCACTTTTGTGGCATTTCTGATCAGTTCACGTAATCCGCTGTCATTCTCTTTTGCTGAATCTGGTACTCTGTAGCATACTCCTACACGCAGTGTTTCAGTATCGTTCTTTATATCACACTAAACAATTTTTTTAAATTTGTCGTTTTTCAGGTTTTTTCTTTCCAGTGCAGTCAGTTTTTCGCTTATGTACAATAACACTCCGCCGCCCTGTCCTTTATCTTTACTGTGTCCCCTGTCTTTCCTAAACATTACGTATCCGTTCAGTTCTATCTCACTATCTTGAATCGATTCTTTCGCCCATGATTCAGTTATACCTATGATATCGGGTTGTTCATTCTCTATATATAACTCCAGTTCTGTTCTTTTATCAATATTTACAATACTTCTTGTATTTACACAGAAACATTTTAAAATTTCAGGTTTGTTTTTTTCTTTTTTATTGTTGCTTTCTCTGCGTTGTTACTCGTTGTATTTAATATTTCTTCAGCTTTACAATTCTCATGTCTCCTGGTAGACCTTTCACCTTGAAAATAAATTCCCCCAATGTTTCTTTGCTTTGTCTAATTTTTGACTCCTTCACTAGCTCTCGGCATTGGTCTCTTTCTGTTTTTGTCATATCGTGCGTCGCCGATATCCTTCTAAAATTTTCATCCGCATTTCGGAGTTTTGACAAATTTTCTAAAACTCTGTTTTTCAGTGTTCCATCAAGAAATTCTATCAAAAGAGGTCTTCCATTTTCTCCTTCTTTGATTTTTCCAAGTCTAAACACACTTTTTATATCCGTATTCTCGCACGGAACCTTTAACACTTCATTAAAAAAAACATAACAGATTTTCTGTCAGCTGTATTTTTCTCTTTTGCTTCTGACGCGTTGTTTTCTGCCAATTTATGGATGACGATGTTATTTCTTTTGCGTTCTTTTTGTTTTCCTTCTTCTGCATTTAGTTCCACTTTCTCTTCGACACTTTTGACTTTTTCTTGCACAACTTTCAACTCTTTGTCCACACTCTTTCTGACAACTGTGGTCCATGTCTCTTTGTTGGCTTCAATCGTTTTCTTGATATTTTTTTCATCTGTTTTTTTTATTTTTTGCAGTTTCTCTTCAATTTTGTCTAGACGTGATTTCTGTTCTTTAAACTGCTCTTTCACAACTTCATTTTCGCTTGTTGATTTTTTATTGCTTAGAAGCTCTACAAGCTGTTGTTCGAGTTGAGCGATCTTATCATGCTGTTCATTATATCTTCCAATTTACAGCATGTTTTGCAGTCCGAGCCCACAAAACTTTCACCCACAAAACTTTCACCCACACCGTACATTTCACATTTATCGCATTTCTTCATACCTTTACACATTTTCTTGCTTCCAAAATTTTGACACGTGCTTAACTAACCTTGTTTTTGCTTATTATCGCTTCTACAACTATTCTTTCTTGAAAGTCTTCGCTTTTTTCTGTCAAAAAAAACTTTTTCAACAATGTGAATAGTAATAATCACAATTCGATTAAAAACTTAAAACGATTTTATTGCAAAAAATTTATCGCAAAAAATTTGTTTACAACCGATCGGCACCATAGAACAAGATTTTACGGCTATAATTTGCTGTAAAAATATTATGAAAACATAAATATATAACACTGCTTGTGTTATAATTCCTTTTGACATGTAAACAGCTTTGAAAAAGAAACCGCTATAAAATTAATGTTCTGCTGATGATGACGCTGACAAAATAATCTAAATATACTTCTGTTTGTAAACAAAACATTTCCATACATATCTTTAATACTTTTTCAACAAGTTTTTAAAGTATCGCTTGCGAGAAGATATATTAAAATGTATTAATGCACGCACACATACTCACACGCACACACACACGCACATTTTAAACTGTTTTCGTCTATGAACACTGTGTTATATGAACGATCGAATTATTATTGCGTGGTCGTACGCTTGCAAGATTTCAAGATTTTAACACGCATTTCAATTGCGTTTCTAAATACGTATTTCTAATTTGAATGAACTTCCAAAATACATTGAAATTTATAAATGTAAGTAGGATACGCACTTATGGTACTCGCATGTAGTTTAACGCAACGCCTATGAATTCAGTATTCACGCGTCACTATCTCTCTCTCTCTCTCTTCCTTCCTCTCTCTCTCTTCTCTCTTTCTCTCTCTCTCTTTCTCTCTCGTTGAAATTCTTTTCAATGACACGGTCTGTATGCAATCAATTACAACAGCAGTGAGAAAATAAGCATAATAATAATAACAATAACAATAATAATAATAATAGTAATGAGAACGACGAATAGCAACAACAATCGAAACAAAAACGGCTTCAGGTATTATTAACAACATAAATAACAACAATGATATTATTAATAGTAGAATAAAAAAATATAAAAATTGTTTTAAAAATTTGACGATGACAATAAGAGCACTTGTTAAATGACGAAAATTGAAAAGAGATTAAAATTTATAAATGCACGCACACGCATCTTTATGAATGAACACGTAAAAGTATATGTACAAACATTATAGATACAAGTGTACACACACCCATATATATATTATGATGAGTATATATATATATATATATATATATATATATATATATATATATATATATATGTGTGTGTGTGTGTGTGTGTGTGTGTGTGTGTGTTTGTGTGTGTGTGTGTATACCATGAAAACTAACGATTTTCTTATTAATTTTAACAAATTGGATAATTATAACATTACTGTTAGAAACACTGAAAAGGTCAATCGTAAACTTTCAATAGCTAAAAATTCGGTAGATTTTATCAAATATTGCATCAATTCTGGTCTCCTTCCAGCATTTATATATAAAAAGCTTTGTCCAGTTCAGTATGAACTTTCTCTCTCATAGAACTTAATAATCATAAAGCCAATAATAGTAGTTATAACAGAAGCATTGGTAACGACAACAAAATTAACATTAACTCAAATGAAATGATTGTAATAGCAAATTCATCAAAAAACAAAACACCATTCGCCAAGTCTTCGCCTAATTACGGCAATGATGTGCAAGTTTGAGTTAAACAATTAATTCTCGAAAAAAAAAATCTGGGTCATACGACGCACTTAATTATAATTTGCCTAATTAATTACACACACATTCACAATTTACATCACTAAATTCATGCTCTCTCTCTCTCTCTCTCTTTCTCTCTCTCTCTCTTTCTCTCTCTCTCTCTCTCTCTCTATATATATATATACATACATGTATATATATATATATATATCTCTTTTTTACTTTATTATATATATATATAAATTATTTGTTATATACGATGTCTATGTTTGTGATGTTATAAATCCACGTATGCTCCTAGATGATGCATCTTACATACAAGATACATACAACACATGCATGCATGCATACCAATATATATATATATATATATATATATATTACTTACAAAAACACATACACACATGCCTCATACAAACATATAATCACACATACATGTTACATACATACTTACACACATACATACTTACATACATACACATACACACATATGGTTTTAGCATACATACATATTTATACACTCATACATACACATATACATGCACACATACATACATACAAACAAGCTTAGTGTTGTGTAGTGTATTATATTTAAGACTATTTTTTAAGGATATGTTATTATTTTGTTTTCCATATTAAAGTTTGCTTAGAGAGTGATCCTCTTATATATAATTAATATAGTAAATGTAATTGTTTTTTTAATAATCGCCTGATAAAATGGATTGATTGAATGAATCTATTTAGCAATTAGTGTTATATTTTAAATGTTTTAATTCATTTTGCGATAATTAAGGTATATATAATTAATTAAATTTTAATAATTAAAATTTAAATTAATTTTTAAATTGCTTTGCGATAAAAAGTACTGCAAAAAAGCAATAGAACTGCTGGTCGGAAGATTTGTATTTTTAAGATATATATAAAAATTATTTTATTCATTTATCATAAATTTTAAAATGTTGATTGATTTATTTAACTAGTTTGTTTATTTGTTAACCATTTTTTTGGATTTTTAATGAATGAATCCGAAATCATTGGTATGTTCATATTCATATGTTCTTTATGTTGTATTCATGTGTATTTTGTATTGTTTTTGCATTTTATTATTATTATATTTTAATTTTTCAACTTCTTGTGTTTGTCGCTTTGTTGATATAAAATATATTATAAGGTTGGATACATGCGTTGTATCAAATGTTTTATTGGTTGGTTGGTTAGCTGGCTGATTTTTAAATGATTGACTGATTGGTTGTTTTTCTTAATATTGTACACTATATTTATTGATAATTACAATTTGATATTCATTGTAGATTGTATGGATTGCACTTGGGAAAAGAAAAGCTAGCAAACAATCTGTTTTGAGCTATTTTTGAAAAATAAAAACAAAAAGTGTTGTAAGTTAAATTTAAATTTTTTATGAAATATGATTAATTTTAAGTTTATAATGATAATTTAATTAGTAATAATGTCATGGTTAGGGAACGTTTGTTGGACGAACGTTTGCTGACTTTAAAAGAGTTTAGACAAGCCGGATTGCTACCTTAAATTAAACTTTTTAACTTCTATGTTTTTTTTGCATTTTTGCTCATTTAATTGAAAATTTAGCAGTAATTGACTAATTTTAGTGTTCTCTGGTGTGTTCTGTGGCCAGTTGAGTAAATCAAACTAAATGATGAATTTTTGTTTAAAATTAGTAAAATATTTTAAGAAGGTAAAACAAGGAATATATTTATATATGTTGAAATGTAAATATGTTATCTGGCTTTTTGCTTAATTTGTCTCAAGTTTAATTTAATTTTCATTTACGTTTCTAATGCTAATAAGTTAGCAAATTGAATAAAAATATATTTTTTAACACTAGTATACGCCTCTGCCAGTATTAATTCGATATGAATTATTATTTATGTATTGTAGATTACGGTTGCTGTTTTGCAATTGTTTGAAAATAGTTTACCTCAACACTTTTTTCTATACCAGCATATTATTATTATTACATGTCGTCTATGTAAGCCTCTTTGATAAGAGTTTAATATAGGGAATTCCCATCTCTTTATCAAACCTAAACCTTAAAACTTATTTAGTTTAAATTAAAAGATACTTGTTGTTTTGATTTATATGAAATTTATGTTTAAGGAAATATCAGTTTAAACTGTAAAATTGTAAAAAATAAATTTTTTTTATTTAAATTTAATGTTTGCTAGTTATAACATTTTAGAGGTTTTCTTTGATGAAGATATATTTGCATTGACTGCATGATTTGGTCATACAATATTCATTTTTTAGGCTGACATTTTTCATGGTGTGCATATTCTGTCATTCATTCAAATCATGTATTTATGTGAGAACTTTTGATCTTTTCCAGTTCTTAATCACTAAGATTTGATTGCCTTTCCCAGTTAATTGGAGTGTGACATGAAAAATTTCAGTGTGGGATAGCTGGTTTTAAAAGAAAGCATGGCTGTAATTGTGTAATTGTAATGATTTGAAGATATTGATTTTATTTATGTTATTTTATGTGTCTGTTTTATTCTTCAATTTTCATGGTTGATCATATATTAATCCTTATTATTATTCATTTCCTGATAGAAAATAATAGATGGTTACTATCAAACCAAGCAATGAATGTCAGATTCTGTCCCTCTTCAGATTTCGTGTGTGTGGGTTGAATGTGTTTACTAGATCTATATGCTAATATTTCTACTTGTGCATTTGTTCTTATAGTTGTATATGTGTTTGTTTATGTATGTGTGTGTGCGTACAGGGGTTATTCTACAGGTTATATTTCACTGTTTTCATAATTGTTTGGCATGGTGTGGCTATTTCCATTTTGCGTGATGGTAGAGTTGGGACAATGCTGTGACTGCTTTAGTCTTGGTTCAAATTTTTTTTATGGCTTACAAAATATGAACCTGCAACTTAAATAATTTTATGGACTTATTAATCTATGTGCCACTAAAGCGATTTATCTTCTTTATATACTGATTCTTTGTGTTTCTTGTACACTGAATAACAAAATATATTCATTCATCCAGTGACATTCTTGACAGTTGTATTACTAATAAGTTTCTATGCTAACTGACATGTAGGTAGGTAGACGTGTGTGTGCGTGCGTGCGTGTGTGCTTATTGAGGTTTATATACAGGTGAATGTTGATGAGTGATTAATCACAATGTCCAATGATAGACGATTAATTAATTTCTTGACTGAGTTTATACATGGGTGCGCCAGTCTCATGATCTTTGCTAAAAAAATCAATGAAGTTGAATATTGTAATAGAAATGTATTAACTTAGAAAGCATTTGATTCCACTTCTTATCATCTTCATGACGAGGATGATGATGACCGTGATGGTGGTGATGATAATTATTGTGATGATGGTGATGATGAAGATGATGGTGGCGATGAGATCATTAACAGGCTGAACATTCATCTTAGTGGCTGAAAATTTGAAAGTATAATTAATATTTTCAGTGATATAATAATTGTTTTTTTTGTGAAGGCCATGCTATTCTGTTTTTCATTCTGATGACAAAAATGTGTTGAGTTAGCCATTAATCACTGTCAGCATGATCAAATTTAGTGCTTCTGTCAACCATTATAATATGTAATACGTAAAAATAATAACAATAACTGTTTGACAGGTTGATTGAAATTTTAGTTGTTGAACCAAGCAACTTACTACCTAACCAATCAACCAACCAACCAACCAGCCAGCCAACCAACCAACTGTAGAATTAGACATTTAAAGTTTAAGTAAATTTGGATAGGTTCCAGATTGTTTTATAAATTGTTTTAATGTCTTTGGACTTGTATGTTGTTGTCAGTTTGATGATTTCATAAATATGTTATCCATACATACATGCATACATACATACATACATACATACATACATACATACATACATACATACATACATACATACATACATACATACATACATACATACATACATACATACATACATACATACATGCATGCATGCATGCATGCATGCATGCAGACAACATTACTGCTGCTGCTGTTGTTATCTTTTAAACAGTGCCATCTCTATCTCTGTGCTTGCTAGCGCGCGTGCGAGTACTGTGTTTACAGTTTGTGTATATTAGTTAGCTTGCGTATATGTCTACGCGCGTGTGTGTATGTGTGTGTGGTGTGCGTGTGCGTGTGTGTGTGTGTGTTCAATATCATGTAATCCTTGTCATGTTGATGCTTTCAAGAAATTACTGTCTGCACTTTGACATTTGAATTAAAGCAGAATTTTTTTTATATTCGTTAATAAATTCATAAATTACAACCATCAAATATGTAGATATAAACTGGTGTAATGTTTTGATGCAACTTATATTGACAAAACTTTATTTTTCAGTCAATGGTTAAACGTTCATACATATATCATATTATGTGTCATATGTAATATTCTACACACAATGTTATTTTGTTCGTGTTTACGAAGACGGATGAATTGATGAAAAAAATATTATCCTTTATATAACGGAGGCATATAAATTATCTAATTCTATTTAAAACAAAAAGGAACATGAAGAATAGGAGAGAAAAAGAGATGAAGGAGGAGAGAGAAAGTGAGATAGAGAAAGAGGGAGAGAAGAAAGAAAGATGGAGAGAGAGAGAGAGAGTTAGAAAGAGAGAGAGAGAGAGAGAGAGAGAGAGAGAGAAAAGAAAGAGTAGAAAAAAATAATTATACAAAACAGAAGTAGACTAAATGTATAAATAAATTAATAAATAAAATGAATTGAATGAAGTAAGCGTTTAAGAGAAAAAAATTTAAACATCTGCTACTCTGTCTCTTACATAAATAAATAAACAAATTAATACATATTATATATATATATATATATATAAATTATTCATAAAAGTAAAATAATAAAAAGAAACATATAATTAACTGTAAATTATAAATTGGGCTTTGTTAAAAATTCTATTTTAATTTTTTCTTCTCTAGCTGTATCAAGATATTCTAACGTATTGTATGTGTGTGTGTGTGCGTATGCATCATTTTTATGGTATGTTTTTTTAGAGTTGAGGTATGCAGACAAGTAATATCATTTCTTGTGCTTTGTTGAGATAGTGGAAGAAGGCTTGATGGAGAAATTTATTGTAGTACCGCGGAATTTAATTGTAAACATTTGGGAACGATTGTGTCAGATATATTTTATTTAACTGTCGGTCCTAGGCGGTGTATTATAGAGTTTTAATATATGTGTAATTTATTATCCCAGAGAATAATTCATCATCATACGCTTGTCCAACCGATTTCATGTGATCAACTGTTTTTTTTTTGTAATTTTTTTTGTACTTGGTTGCCAGCCTGTGCAAGACTAATGACCCGAAACACTTGAGATGTTTGTAAGCTTAGTTGATGACAGATAGGTTGATATTTAACTATAGTATGTCGGTGGATTAGATTAGTCTGTGTGTTTGTTCTCTCTCTCTCTCTCAGGATGAATCAAGATTGAGTTGTCTGAATGTCGTTCAGGAGATAGTATAGTCGGGATTGAGGTTATTTTCTGTGTGTAACAATTTTATGACTGGGATGGTTAAGGCATGCTGGCTGATGACATGTTGGTGTCAATCAAAAAATTTTGTTCATGCTTCTTTCCCTTTTAAGATTAACTAAAATTTGTATTTGGATAATAATGACGGTTCTGCCCGGCGAAGATATTTCATGATCATGATATTATAAAATCATTCGTAGCGTCTTCTAAATGATGAAATTTTTAAGAAGACGACGACAATGATGATGAATATGAAGTATTGTGTAGTATACTTTTATTGTGCGTAAAATTGATATATTCATGTCAGACTGATTGATGAATTACATTTTCAATTATTTATTCATTTTCCATCAAAAACACATGTTGTACCGTTCTGTATTAAACCAATTGTCATTTTTATTTTTTCTCTTCTTTCTCTTTCTCACTCAATAACTTTGATATATTTCTCTTCTCTTTTCAAACAACTTATCTACAACACCTAATCTGCTAAAAATTTCCTGAAAAGGTACATACTACATCAATAAAAATTAATGTCTGTAAAAAAATATTCCGTTTTTTAGATGTTTTTTCGTTTTGTTTTTATCATACAAACCCTAAGCTGGGTTTGCATGAGTCATGCAAGATGTAAACCTTGAGGTGCAGTTTTTTTTCTTCCTGAAGCTTCTTTTCGCGTTTTACTTTCAAATAAACACATAAAAAAACGTATGGCTTTAATCATTTATCTGTTGCGAAGTAATAAAAGTTTATTTCATTCATGTTCTTCAGAAACTAATTTACATTTATCGCTACAAATGTCTTCATAAATATGCTTGTGAATGGGTGTATGCGAGTGCGTGTGTGTGGTTGGTAGGCACGTTACGTGTTGTACACGTGCGTATCTCTATGGATTTCGTGCTACTCTAAAAATATTGCAAGATGTTTCAATTTTACAAGGCATGAATGTTTGTTTTAAAAAGTTTAACAACATTTTTGTATTTTTAACAATTAACGTGGTTGTTTTTTTTTATTTATTTTGACAGCAGATGGACGTTATTTGTGGATACACAGAGTCCCCTACAACATCAACAACTCACAAACCTTTTCTACCGCCAAGAATTACTCCACCTGTTCCAGCAAGAAGCAACAACCATTTGAAGCAACAGCAGCCACAACAGCAGCAACAACAACTTCTAGAAACAGAATCAATCACGCCACTTGATGGCAAAGACACATTCCGACCGTCGTTTTTATTTCACAATCAGCCAGAGAAGTTAGTTAAAAAATCAAGAAATGCCAATGAATATCTAGCCGACAAGGAAAACATTATAGTGCATAAGTCCTCAAAACAACGAGATCTAGGATCACTACTATCTACGAAGGTACCACCAATTCCGCCAAGAGTGCCTCTCACCCGAAGCATTTCACTCACCTACCGACCACCGCCTCCACCAATTTCGGATGCCGCTTCGGCCAGCGAATCCCTATCGACAAATTTTAGAAAGAAAGATGGCCCCATTACAAACAGCTGTCGATTGATAGATAATCCCTTCAACGGTTTGGATAATATTCCCACCATCGTCGACCCACTTAAACCTCGTAGACGCGGCGGGGTGCCTCAGGTCCGATCGGCACCAACGCTTAATAACGTTCATAACATCACTAACGTCAACAACGCTCACGTTAAACATTTAGTAGCATTATCGCCTGCTAATCAACTAACGATACGACAACACCACGACAAGGGGGTGGCCGATAATCAAACAATTATACCTCTCGCCAGGTGGCCTCTTACCGAAACTCAACCCAGAACTAATCATCCGTTCTTGGACAGCCTGGCCAGCAGGTTACATGGTTCTACCAACGAATACGTCGATAGTCCAAGAACCATTTCGCGAACAAAATCTCTAATCTCTACATTGAATCTCACAAGCAACGGCAATAATTTTACAACAAGCAGTCGAGTGTTGAATGAATTGTCGTCGTGGGGCAGTCATGGTACCTCTCTTAATCGTGCTTGCAATGCCTCCATCCTTGTCTCCACGACCCATTTTAAAGAGAAGAAACAGAAAAACATGTTGAAGAAATTAAAACTGTTTGTAAATAACAACAGAATGAAACGAGGTTCTGTGCATGCGGACGCTGAACGACCATCATTAAACTCTCACCTAACATATCAATCGACCGTCACAAACACAACTGCGCTAGTTGAACCAACAACGACACCGACGACTCGAGAGTGTACTAATTCTATAATTTGCAGGCAGTGTGGCAGGTGTCGCTGCAAAGATTGTATGAATTCGTCTCGAAGAACCGGTCGAATCGCTTCTAGTATTCAGGACGAGTCTCTCTTGGACTGTCTCAGCTGCATGTGTGCAATCAAGCCCATATTTTACCACTGTTTGAAAGATAGCAACGGTGAGGATGACTGCTCGGAGGAACCCTGTGCCTGCTGTTCTCAACCAAATTGTTTTCCGAGGTGGGCCATTCTGGGCATGTTCCTACCCTGTCTGCCCTGTCTGTGCTTCTATTTGCCTCTTAGATGTCTCCTTGACGTTTGTCTCGGCTGCTTCTCAAACGACATTGGATGTCAGTGCGAACACAAGTCCCACAAGTCTTCTGGCTTCAAAACTCTGCTGGAATCAGAGAATTCAAGTGCATGAAGAGGATTAAACTGATTGGATACTGTATTGTATTTGTATATTATACGATATAATATTTTAGATCATAATATATATTGCTTGATCATGACGATATTTACCGATTTTCCAAGTTTCTATTCATCTCTAGTCATACATATATATATATATATATATATATATATATATATATATATATATATATATATAGCTGGCATATTGTTGGTGGCAATGACAATTGACGCTATAACATGCATAAGACATATCTTGCAAGCTTATCAAGTCTCTATATGCTTTTGATAATTTTAATTGAACTATTGATTTTCACTGATTCACATTTACATTGAATAACATGACGTTGTTACTACTACTATTCTTAGTGGTTTGATAATACAGTTTATAGTAATATTCACGGCTTAGTATTTACGCAGTTTTAAACTGAGCAACATAACACTAATAATCGGTAACCTGTCTGGCAAACTTTTTATTATGAATTTTTAATGCCACACGAAATAAAAACTATTAACTAATATGCATATACCTCATGTACATACGTGTAAATAATATATATATATATAGGTATATATATATATATATATATATAATCTAATGTAATATATATATATATATATATATGTATATATACAATATATATATATATTATATATATGTGATTATATAATGTTTTGTATATAGAACTTGTATATAATTGTATTACTTATGATGTATAGCTGTATATATATATATACGTGTATAATGTTATTAATAAAAGAGAGAACAAAAAGTTCACATTTAAAATTACCTCATTAATTTATGCCTGTTTTATATATATATATATATATATGTGTGTGTGTGTGTGTGTGTGTGTGTGTGTTTGTGTGCCTGTGTATATATATATATATATACGTATGATTTATTTTAAAATAAATTCTGTTCACTTGGTGGTTATTATATTTAATGTATTTCTGTTCGTTATTATACGTTGAGTTTTTCTTTCAAAATTAATGTTACATTTTTGTTTCGTTGTTGAATTTTGATCAATATAGTTTTCGATTTTCATGGTTTCGTATGATTTTTGGTCTTCTATATTATTATTGAAACGTCATATGGAAAATTCATTCGATCCGGGTAATAAGAATTTTAATATCCTAACAAACTTCCTGCAAGCATTTAAACATGGCCAAGTGATTTGCGTAGTGTTTTCAAACATCTACATACATACATACGATAAATTCCATAGAAAAATTAATTTAATCATTTTGAATGTTTTCTATCTTTAGCTATAAAATTTTTATCGGTTGGTTCTATGATCAATTTGTTTTTGATTTCATAGACACGTTTTTCGGATGTTAATGTAGTTAGTTAAACGATATCTTATTTGACTTGATTCGATTTTATATATATATTCGGCTTTATTTACTGTGTTCATTACGAACATTGGAATCTTTCGGACAGCCAATGCAGACTGATGTTTGCGTGCATCATATGGAGCATATCAAGTTATATGCCGTCTCATCACTTCTTTAAGTTTCTGTTTCTTGATAACGAGTTTGGCATAATTTTAGAGATGACTTGTTAAGATAGAGCAAGATTTGGCATAATATTGTTGAGGACAAAATTTATAAACATTTGATATTGTATCTGAATGTTTGCGCTGAGAGATCGGAATCATTAAGATAAATGATTAGATCGCTTGTAGAAGATGGGCGAAATTATCTAAGCTTTACTCTTAAGTCTTTTCCTCATTCTACTATTGACATATGAAAAAGCCTAGATATATTGTTTCAACTCGAGCAATTTATTGACTAAGTAATTTTTGCGTCGAATCTGGTGAATGAAATCTTTCAGTATTTACATCGTTTTGTAAGTAATCTGCATGGTTTCCTATATTTCAAGTTTTATAAAATTTATCCATGACTACAATATCAAACTATTATAACAATAATGTATAATTGGATTAATTAAATATAGCTGTAGTTGCAAGTTTTTCAATGTTTCTTATTGGGCATTGATTTTATATTTTATGTTTTTAATATGTACAAAACCAATTCATCTTTTGACTTTTCTTTTATAAGTTGTCATTTTACATTTATAAACAATAAAATATTCGAAATGTTGGTGTTGTTGGATGAGCTGAGAATAACTTGGCGACAAAAGGTATAACAGAATAAATTGGAAGAGTTTATCAGCGTGGGTAAATTAATTTCACAACACTAGTGAGTTTTGTTTCTTGAACTTCATTACTTCATACATCATTACATCGGTTTTCATCTGATGTAGAGTAGAGATATGAATTTTCTATCAAATTTTTTTCACAAGTCTTGACCAGTAAGTTAGAATTATTGTGACACTGTCATATATTTATATATTAAATAACATTTGTTTTGACTTTGTCAGCGGAATCTGTAAGATAGGCTGTTTTGTTAGTGGAATAGTTTTTTCTAAACTAATTTTCAACAGGCCTTCACAATCATCTTCAAACTCTCTTACTTATCAGGTTTCATGTCTGTTTCCATCATTCTATACTTTACTCTGGATATTGTTGGATTCATTTTTTGCACTAGTAATCGGTGGAAGCTATTCCGACGATGGTAGAGGTAGCCTATATATGGACACAAGCCGTCTTAGGTTTTTGCCAAATGTCTACAGCCACATCTATGTATTACCTAAAATTTCCTTTCCTAAGTTATTGCTGTATTTAATACTTACATATATAAGAATTATTAAAATATATAAATATATATTTGACCTGTTATTAATTTGGTGTAGAGATTTTTTTATCAATAGCAAGAACGACAGAGGTATATATGGACACTACCCGTCTTAGGTCTTTAGCCAAATATCTACAGCCACATCTAGGATTTCCTTTCATATATTATTGCTGTATTTAATACTTACATATATAAGATTTATTAAAATATATAAATATATATTTGACCTGTTATTAATTTGGTGTAGAGATTTTTTTATCAATAGCAAGAACGTGAACATATATTGAATGAAAGTTGAGAGAGATATTTGCGTTACAGCCTTCCATACTAATTGAAAGTTTATTTTTGGAGAAAAAAGTTTTAATGCCTGTACTCTGCACATACATCCTCATTTCTGGGGCCAATAGACCTGTCTGTCTGTCGTTTATTTTGGATAACTTTCTTTTTAAATAAATTGTTTTTTAAATAAATTGCTTTTTAAATAAATTGCTTTTTAAATAAATTTCTTTTTTAATGCATTATTAAAATTTCAGTGGGGAAAATGATTGGATATGAAAATTCATTTTGGGTGACTATATTTTTTATTTATTTAATAAAAATTAAAGGCTTAAAAATAAAATTGATATATAATTAAAATATTAAATAAATATATAATGTATATAAGAATTAGTAAATCAAATTAATTACTATTATTTAATAATATAAATAAATAATAAATAAGCATGGCTGTTTTTTAAGGGTTGAGTATTATAAAGTATGTAGTGTAGTAACATTTCATTTGTTTCATACTTATACAAAGGATAATACAGAATACATACACCAATGCAATGATAATGTATAGTACACATAATGTCTAATATATTATTTATGAAAACATCTCCCAAAGCTGGCTTTAATGTTAATCTCAATTTCAAGTTTATATTTTAATAATTATAGCAATGTGTTTAAGAAACTGATTTGTTTTTCTAGTAATGCTTTTTAAAATGTATGCTCAGGTGAGTCATCTCATTACATGACTTTACACTGTTACAAATTAAATTACATTACATTAATCATGTGTTTTTAAATACTAAACCAGGGGGCAGACTTTACAAGTACTGCTGGTTTTGATGCATTGGTACGGCGAATGGAGGAGGGGAGGGTATGCAGCAAAATCATTGGGGAGTTTTTCAAATTTAGGTTATAATTTTGTAGCTGATATTCATTTTCATTTTCAAATTTAATTTTTAATTTAAAGTTTAGTTGGATGTGTGCTACATTTTGTTTGGAAGGATTTCATTATTTATACACTTATACAGTGTAAAAGAACATGGTGTATGCTATGTAAAATGTGTAATTTATGCCAATACTTAACAATGCTTATTTAATTACACTTACACACAATGCCATTCATATTAAACATCTCTTTAGTTGTGACTAGTCTTTCTTAATTACAAGATTGTGAATGAACTTTAGTTTTCTTTATGTGTGGTTTAACCATTATTACACACACACTTACCTACATGTTGAGTTGACAGTTTTAAAAGATTTGCTCAATGTTAATCTGTCTCTATTTTTACATTCCTTTTTGTCATAAATTGCTTATTTCTCTTTTGTTACTTTATTAACATGGTGTGATACATAATAATGTTAAGTTAAATATTTAGCTTGTGTGTGTGTATGTATTTCATATTTTTAATAAATCATGAATTTGAACTTTCAAATTAAATGCAATGAATACACATTTTCAAATTTTCAATCAATTTCTATTTAATCTTTTATCATTTTTTTTTTATAAAATTATGCTTCAGTTTTTTAAAAAACAATCAAACAACTGATTGTAAGCATTTTTTTCTTAATTTTACTGTTTTCATTAAGTAAAATATGTTACCTTTAATTGCTATAGAGCCAAGACAGAAGAAGATTATGGAAAGTCTCTATTGAAAATCTGCAAATGTGTTCCTGACCTGGGTGACTCAGGGTAAAGGTTTTTCATACAATATTTTTGTTAGAAAATTTTGTAATAAAAATTTTATAGTTCTTTGTCACTGCTTCATGTACATTCTTGTACAAGTGCATACACATGTTCTTACATGTTTGTATTGATGTGATTGTTGCTATTGTTTGTGTGAATTAAAAAGAGTCATTTATATATATATATATATATATATATATATATATATATATATATATATATATATATATATATTTCATTTCATTTTCATTTTCAAAGTTTTATTCATAATCAACAACATATCAAATAAGTGAATAAAAGTTATGAAGTTGAATATGCGGAGACTGAATAAGACTGTTTGTCTTGTGGTGGCCACCGCAGGTAGATACATGTATAGTTAATGGAATAAAATAAGGAAAATAAATGAAGCAGAAAGATAATTGAAGATAAATAAGTAAATGTTCGTGTCATACATATATAGACATATAACTATGTAAATGTTCGCTCAGTACATATATGAACACATAAATGTTTAACCATTCATAAAGACCATTCATCCGCATCATTTGCTCTAATGTATTCTTAATATAATATAAGGTGGTGGAGTCGAGATCCAGTGTCAATAAAAAAGCACGGAATTTTGACTTGAAATGTTGTAGGTTTATGATGGCTCTTAGATGGCTCCTAGTCATATATATATATATATATATATATATATATATATATATATATATATATATATATATATATATATATATATATATATATATATATATATATATATATATATATATATATATATATATATATATATATATATATATATATATATATGGCTAGGAGATGGTAATTGATGCAATCGTGTCACACCAGTATATATATACTTGAGCATTTGGCCACATACACAACGTACCAATTCGAACACCTGAAGATGATATAAGATTACCGAAATAAAATAAATATTTATTTTGTTTTGGAACTCAAGACACTTGACAATGATTTACAATTTACATTTACCCTGTTAGAAAAATCAAAAATCGAAAAATTTAACAGGAACAAGGGATTTTTATCAATAATTGCATATATAAATTGCATATAAATATATATATATATATATATATATATATATATATATATATATATATAATGATACATTTTTCCATATAACAATGTAGCAATAGAACATTAATAGCTATTATTCTTAATGATATAATTATTATTAATCTCTTGAAGCACTTACCAACAGCTAGTTGTTAGTTAATTGCTCTCATTCATTTACACTCCCATCATCTGAACAACAATATTTAATGAGTGAGTGAGTAATACTGAACATGCTATCACCACCTCACTCATTTCATTCTCTGCTAATTATGTATGTAAGCCTATTTTATTGGTGATAGTTCATTGCTACAAAGGATCTTTCCAACTTTACTTCTTTATTTTATTGCAATATAAATATATATATATATATATATATATATAATATATATATATATATATAGGTTTAGTTTGAATTTTAATAAACTAAACGTTCACCAAAAAACTTTAGTGAGAAAAATTGAAAAAACGAACTACAAACATATTAACGCCAAACATTCGGTAGAATTTATAGAATATTGTAAAAATTATTGGTGATTGTTCATTGCTACAAAGGATCTTTCCAACTTTACTTCTTTATTTTATTGCAATATAAATATATATATATATATATATATATAATATATATAATATATATATATATATATAGGTTTAGTTTGAATTTTAATAAACTAAACGTTCACCAAAAAACTTTAGTGAGAAAAATTGAAAAAACGAACTACAAACATATTAACGCCAAACATTCGGTAGAATTTATAGAATATTGTAAAAATTATGGTCTATTATCAACACACACACACACACACACACACACACACACACACACACACACACACACACACACACACACACACACACACACACACACACACACACACACATATATATATATATATATATAAAATAAATCTCAGACTATTATTATTATTATTATTATTCAAAACAGCACGGGCAGAACCCCTTGCCAAACAAAAATATAGAAATTCGAAAATATAAACCATAAATAAATAAAATAGGTAATGTACATAATAAACTTATCTTATATATATAAATAATAATACACAAGTCAACACAACAAAATAAAGCAACATAATTAATTAAAGTGTAAAAGATGATAACTATTGAATGTACTATATAGTGTAAAAGGAAAAATTATAAATTCAAACGCCAATCAAATATGGAGTCACCAAAAAATGAATCTAATAATGATTTAAAAATGTTAATGTTATCAGCGTTGACGGCATCAGAAGGAAGCCTGTTCCAGTCGTCTACCACACGGTATGAGAAGCAAAATTTACGACAATCTTTATGACATGGTCCTGTAGTCAGTTTCCAGTTGTGTCCTCTCGTACGATTGTCGGACGGAAATAGTAGCGTTGGACTAGCCTTGACAGAAACCTCGCCACGTAACATTCTGAACAACAAAATAAGATCCGCTTTGCGACGACGGTACGCGAGTGAAGGCAGCTTAAGTTTCTTTAATCTGTCAATATAAAGAAGAGACCTACAGGAATTAACCAAACGTGTTGCTCTTTTTTGGATTTTTTCAATTTCTAAAATTAAACCAATTTTGTAAGGTTTCCATGCTTGAACACCATATTCCAACTGAGACCTTACCAACGACTTATACAACAAGACAAAAGCTTCTTCCGATAAATTCTTGAAGTTTCTAGCAACAATCCCCAACATGGAGTTAGCTTTATGAACAATTTTCAAGATTTGGCTTTTGAACCTAAGCTTGGCATCAAAGATCACTCCGAGGTCTGATATCTCATCAACCTCTGGCAAACGAAAGGGCAGTCTGTTGCAGTCTACAATAGTGACTGGTGTACCTGAATTGTTGCAACCAAACCTTAACATTTGGCATTTATTGACATTTATATTTAACTTCCATTTACTAAACCAATCAACCATTTTTATAATATCCTGAGAAAAGATGATTTTATCTTCGTCACTTTTTATTACCTTGAAAATTTTTGAGTCGTCTGCAAATAGCAGAACATTGTCACAAACAGAGGATAAATCGTTTATATAAACTAGAAAAAATAGCGGACTCAGAACCCCACCTTGGGGAACCCCACTTAAAACCGGTCTCTGATCCGATAAAGTACCATCAAGCTTTACTTGAAACGACCTACCACTGATATAGTTCTGAATCCAATTTAGTAGCTTGTTGTTAATACCGTACTGTTTGAGCTTGAATAGTAACCGGCTGTGTGAAACCTTGTCAAACGCTTTTTCAAGATCCATATAAACCACATCAACCTCATAACCATGATCCAATCCCTCAGTGATGATCTCCAAAAACCTCAAAAGTTGCAAGACTGCTGAACGACCTGGTATAAATCCAAACTGGCCATTGGAAAATAAATCATTCTCCATAAAATAATTCATAATGTGATCTTTTATCATAGATTCCAGAATCTTGCAACAAATTGAAGTTAATGCGATCGGACGATAATTTTGAGCCAGATCCTTACGGCCTTTTTTATGAAGAGGAACGACATGACTAAGCTTCCAATCTTGCAGCACAATGCCTTCATCAACTGAACGATGGAATAGTCTACTTAAATGGGAGCAGATTGACTTCCTTAATTTCCATAGAACTCGTGGGTGTATATCATCCGGACCTGCTGATTTGCTTGTATTTAGCTATTCATTTTGACAATACCATGCTTTCGTCAATAAGCAAATCAGCCATTGGGGATAATACATCAGTGGAGTCAAAATAAAAAGAAGTATCATTATCATCAAAAGAAGTATCCTCTCTTTACACAGAGTAGAAGAAGTTAGCATACATACATGAATGCGTGCATGCACACATGGATGTAAGCATACATGCACTCATACGAATACACACGTAGATGCATGCAATAGGGCTATTGTGTTTCATTTTCTTTCATTTATCAATAATTTTTTTTCCCGTGTTTCCTGATAGTTGATATAAATCCATAATCGGTTAAGGTTGAAATTCATTCATTCATTCGTTTGTTTATTTTTCATATTCACATTTATTGACTCGTCTTATTTGATGGGCTCTCACATGTTTAATGTACACACGTTTTTTTCCAGGTCTTATATTGTTAAAAAGCTACACACCATTTATAACTCTTGGAAGCCGGAGATATTTCACAGTAAAACTAGGCAACCTTTCTGTCATGCATTACTCTCTCTTTCTTTCAGTGATTGCATTTTTTTGCAGGCAGACAGACATTTACGCAGACGCATACACACATGCATGAACATCGGCATACGCCACACACATGCATACGTACACACACATGCACACGCACACACACACATAAACTTCACAGATCCTTTGTCTCCAGTTGGGATGTGATGAAGACACAGACAGAGAACATGGCACAAACTCATCTCGACTCATCAGCTTACTTTCTGGAGCTCTCAAACAAGATCACAGACTTTCAAAAGAATCAGAAAATTGATAGGAAAAACGTTAGTTGCCTGTCTTCAATTTCGATTCTCTGTAGTGTATTGCTGGCCAATTAAATTGAATTTATTTGTTAGCTCTTTCATTGTTTGTTATGAGTTATGTCAGCTCTTCAAATCTCATTCATCGGTTCTTTCATTTGTATTGAGAGTATGTGCAGCTTACACGGCTGAGGTACGGTTATTGTGATTGAGTGGGACTGATTGAAATGATCTATGGAAACTTTTTTCTCCATATAAATTCGTTCGTATATATATTTGGTTAAGTATGGCGCATGTAAATAGCATTTGGTTCAAATTCATTTTCTGCTTGTTAAATAAATTGAAACTGAATTTGTGAAATTAAAAAACTGATTAATTGAAGTGGTTTGAATAATTGTAGTGATTTGATTGATTGATTGATTGGTTGATTGATTGATTGATTGATTGACTGACCAACTGATTGACTGACCAACTGATTGATCTAATGTTTTCACTTCAGAAAGAAGACTATATAAGCACTCTGGCCAAGGATAAAATAACATATCTCAAGAAGAATACAGATGTATGTAGTTGACGTCGTCATTATCGTCTTCGTTCTTGTCACAATCGTAGTCGTCATCGTCTTAGATTTATTATTGATTGTAAAATAGTAAAAAATGTAACTTGTTTGTAAATTGTATTTATAAAAATGAATTAATTAAATAAATTACTTTTTAAGTAATTTTTGTTAAGGATTTTAAAAATAATAGTTAAAAAGTTAACTGCAAATAAAAATTTGAAAAAAATTACTAATTTATTTTTCTAGGCCAAGAAGTTATATGAAAACAGGTCTTTAGAAGCAGAACTAGCGGACAACACATTGAAAAAAGCGAAAACAAATGAAAATTCCTACCCCACTAAGGAATGGGATAAGGTGAGAGGGGATTGATTGATTGACGGAATGAAACGAAAAAATGGTTGAATGGATTAATTAACTGACGATGACAGGATGAATGAATGAGTTATTGAATAAATGAAAGAGTGAATGAATGAATGAATGAATGGATAAATGAATGGATGAATGAATGAATGAATGAATGGATGAATGAATAGATAAATGAATGGATGGATGGATGAGTGGATGGATGAATGGTAATTACAATCTCGGTAAAGTTTTTTCACAAATGGATTTTTAAATGCCAATATCTCCAAACTGAATGCTTACAACATCCGTATTAGTTTAAAGTCAATACTAAATGCAAACATCAGTGCTTTCATTGCCCATATATTATTTATAATACTTTGTGTTGTAATAATAATAAAATAACAATATAATAATAAAATAATAATAATTATTATTCAAACGTTTTGTAATTCTTTTCCAGATCGTGAAAAAAGCGGCCAAAGCCATTGAAGATGCAGCAGCAGCAGGTCCAGGCGGTTTTAATAATCCTTATCTTAATGTCACTTTATGTAATGCTAGAATGAAATTAATTTTTTTATTTAATAATGAAATAAATACTTGCGATTATTATCTGTACGATGGAATACGATGACGCATTCATCATTTATATAACGCATATACAGTTGCGTGCTTAGAAATTTTTTTTTAAACGCTCTATAGTGAGATACATTTTCCATATGCAGTGTTGGCGCGATATATATATACAGGAAATGTTACTATTACATATTCATGAGATGTGACTATTACATATTCATGAAATGTTAATATTACATATTTATGAAATGTTACTATTACATGTTCATGAGATGTTACTATTACATATTCATGAAATGTTACTATTACATATTCATGAAATGTTACTATTACATATTCCTGAAATGTTACTATTACATATTCATGAAATGTTACTATTACATATTCATAAAGTATTATTGACACAACTTCTTCAGATAAATTGTACAAAGACCTGGTGACGAAATTGGAGGAGACGAGGAAACTATGGGAGAAGGAGATGAAGGAGTACAGCATTGTTTGTATTCATTAACTTTATGCTATATATATCGATAGTATATATTAGGGGTGGGCAAACTTTTTTAAGATTTGTGGTTCCTTTTTGGTCATAATGTCTGACCGACGAACTTCACGGGCCGTAGTTTGCCCACCCCTGATATATATCATAAAACTATATATCACATTTCTTTTTATTATTAATTCAAACTACAGATTTAAAAAAAAAATCTGTGTATATTTTTCACGAGTATTTTCATACATTTCCACTTAGATTAGCGGCATGTTTATTCAATTTTAAACATGATATCTATCATTAAGTAATGATATACGGATTGATAGATTGATACACTTATGTTCTGAGAACAGAACAACCTTAAAATTATCAAATAAATACACGCATTCATACATATCCGATTATAACATAAGAGTAGAAAGTACTTGTCTACACATACTTTCTACTCTAAATAGTATTGTATTGTATTGTATTGCATATGTGATAGATATTGTTTGACATATTTAATAGTTTAAGCGTTAAGACGACTAGCAACTATTAAACGTATAATATGATGGCAATTTTTAATTTTAATTTATTTCTACATGTCTCGTGCCTCCAAACGATTCAGATGTGTGAACAGATGGACGAAAGCAGGCTGAAATTTTTGATGGAAAGCATGTGGGCTGCTGTTAATGTAGTATCAAAAAACTGCCTCGACATTGATAACGTTTGTATTGTATTATATTAATTAATACTGTTTATTTTTCTTAGTTTAATTTGTTGTTATATTCATTTAGTTGTTTTATTTATTTTTTCATTTATTATCTACTATTAATTTTGATTATGTTTTTTTTGAGTTGGGCTAGTAATGGTGATTCTGAAATGAAAATTCATTTTTAATTTCAGGGCTGTGAAGTTATAAGGCAGTCCCTTGAAAATGTCAGCATTGATGGAGACATGAGGATGTTTGTCGGCAGGTGTCAAACTGGGTCTGAGAAGCCTGGTTGGAAATTCATTCAATTATCATTTTTTTTTACTTTTCCTTATGTCATCATTCGACATCAACATTCTGACAGATTTCTTAATAATTTTTTCCTTCTTTCCTATATTTTCTCCAATTTAACACCTGCTAACTGTTTGATTGCTGCCTGCAAAAAATGTAAATATCACTATGATGTAACAACGGCTGATTTGTTCAATTAAATTAAATTAATTAATTAACTTAATTTAATTCTATTTATTCAGCTCCAATGAGGTATGAACCCTACCGATCTCAATATTCCTCATCAGCGCGCGTCTAACAGTCAGTATTTTTATTTGTAATTAATTTACTTATTAATTAATTAATTTATTTATTAGCTATTTTTGATGATTCACAAATTAATTTTAGCAAATATATGAAAGTAAAATAAGATGCACTAACATAACAACTTATAGAAAAAAACCTCTGCTTTATAATTCTGATATTAAGATTTTAAGAGCTGTCCAAATAAGCAACAGCATTTTAAGAGCTATTGTTGATCAAGAATGAATAAGTGCTTCACTGAAAAATGATGAGTTTATTGGCATTGTTCCTCTAAATTTTCTCATTCTCTTTCTTATCGCTACGTAAAATGGTAATGTTCTCCACATTTAAAACTATTCATGACGGGCATTTGTGTGGAATAAAGATAAAATATAATATTGTCATCAAATTTTTACTTTTTTTCACAGGCTGATGAAGATGTATGTATGTTCCTCCTTGGTTCTAAGATAGGCTGCTGTTGAAATTTACTCACAACTCATGTATGACATACATGAATAAGCACGAACGCACACTTTACACACACTTTACACACACCACACACACATATATATATACACATAGTGTATGTGCTTGCATATTGCCTTATTAGATATATTTTTCAGTTCTACTAATTTATTAGGCGGTTGATAGGGTGATAAGATATATATTTGTAAATTCTTTTTTTATAAATTGTTTTTTTCATTGCCATCTCAAAAATTCTGTGAATGAGGACCAAATGTCTTATTGTAGATATGTGTGAAGTTACTGTTTCTAGCTGACAAAACGCGATATAATCTACGCTCAAATACATGTTCATCTTTAATTGTTATTTGTCGAATGTTTCAACTCAACCTTTATATCAGTTTTTTTAAATGAGTGACTTAATTGTTGAACAAGTTAATATTTTAATCTATACATTTGTTAATTAAACAAAGAAATGATGAGATCCGCGGTGTAGATGTGCTCAAGCAGATATAATTGATCAGATTCTGTGATACATTTATTGAAATTAAACAAACATTGTACATGAACGAACACTAACAAAAATTTGTCTACTTGTCTTCTACTTGTTCACTTGGTCTTATACTTTAATTGAAATTTTAGGATTGACTTGGAAAATATTGTATAAGCGATGCATACATTTTCATCATGTTTTGAATAGCTAAAGGATAAATTCCATCCCCACAAATTTATATCAACATAGTTTTCGTTATTACCATCATGAACTTTCGTCTCCATTACTCATTTTGAGATATACGCACATAAATGGACGAAGGTAATGCAATCTTGCAGCAAATTTGACGCAAACACAACACCGTCCGTACTGAAACGCACAAATCCTTGAAAGTTTTCGCGGACGCGTGTTCATCTGAATTATTTCATTGCATGTGTTTCTTGTTCCCTTGCGCACCGCAATAAACTTTTGTATAAACTTCATTTCGAGGCTGCTACGTCCTAAAGTTTTTGGAATTTATTTTCCGCGTTTAAAATTTTTTTCCTTAGGTAATTTTTACCAGTTATTCGTAGGTCAGCAAATTCCCACCACATCCCATATAGACTTCTAATATATCGTGCGATCACAAAGGTTCAAATGACCTTTATCGGCCTCAACGGACTTCCGATTACGCAGATTATCGATTTCAACATTTCTTGTCCGATTGCGTCAAGTTATGTCGACAAGCCAACCCTGTTGAGAAATCTTAACGTGTGCACGTCGGAACTTACGAACTGATTATCGGAAAATTTTAAATTAACAAAGCCTGAACGATGTTTGAAACAATAGAGCAACATTTTTTTATTCATTTACCCACATAAATCATATGTTCGTGCTCAAATGAAGCCGACAGACAGAACATAGAACAAACAAAAACAATAACGTAATATATATATATGTATATATATATATAACAAAAAATAACATACTTATAAAAAGAGTTATTTGAATAAATAAATAATCAAACAATTATTTAATCAATAACAAAATATTTATCTATGGTGACGATTGTGACAGAGCGACAATAATAAAGAAATGCAAGAAACATAAACGAATAAACGCATGAAACAACTTAGAAAGTAGTGAACAATTCAGCTGAAGTAGTGAACAATTCATTCAGCTGAACAGCGCAACTAAACATACAGAAATTATTAAAAATAAAAATAATAGGAAAAATTCTAATTATATACAAACGATGCTTATGTACAGCAGAGCACGCAACGATTCAATGGCTCAATTAGACATTACACGTTGCGATGACGAATAATATTTTGATTAAACACATTTTAGATTAAATCATTCATTAACCTAACTGAATTAATTAATTAATCAGAGAAACAAGCAACAACGAATAAAGAAATACAAAAACAGAATAATCAGTTACACAACAACAAAAAACGTGCAAATTAATGGTGAACTGTTATTATATCGATAAGTAAATTAAACAAACAAACAAACATGAGAGGACAAACAAAATGACATTAAAGACACAATTTGAATGAAGCCAACGGTTTTAAAATGATGTTCAAATTTATATCCCTAGTGTCCATATCAAATGATGAAGTGGGTAGAGTGAACTTAGTCTACATAGCATATAATAAGCCGTATAATAAATTATTTGTTGACCACCAATATCGGTCCAACGTTATCAAACCAGAGAAAAACAAAACCTAATGAACATCATCAACATAACAGTCTGTTAAATTAGCCCAACACAATCCCTGTATATAAATAAATAATCAATGTCTTCATAATCTACCCATCCATACATCAGTTGAATGAATGATCATCATTAACATTACATTTTTAACAATATGAAACCATCCGACCAAGTACATCAAACTGTGAGGTACAGAATTTGTGAAGAACAAGAAGAATGTCGACCACAAACGATATAGTTATTGTAATTTCTTAACATAAAATTTTCAATCTTTGTTGCTGTTGTTACAAATCATTTAGTTACACATACATATATATCGTACAAACCAGATGGAAAATAATAAAAATCTTAATAAATCATTACTAAAACAAAACAACGATTTAAAACGGTTAAAACCCTACATAGCTAAATAAAAGTTACAGGACCAGAACAATATGAACCAATAAAAGTTAGGCAAGTTAGTGCCAGTGTATTGAAATTAATCAGTCTCTGGCACACTTAAGAAGCATTTTATCGACATTGTGAAATCCTTTTATGAAAAATTCTATTTGAAACAAAAAAGTTTCAAAAATTAAACGGCAGAGAAACAAAATGGTCGGTCAGATAAATGAGTATGAGGTATGAAGTAAATGAATTAAAAATTTGTATAATAAACAAACATTAGGTTACTGTTATTATGGTTTACTCTTCGAAATAGCCTTTATCATTATTACATCTTATTCACGTGACGAACAACACTCATTAAACTGTTACTCTTCAACAGTTATAACCGATTATGCACACAAAGATAAACGAATAGACAGACATACAGACCTCAGATGACAAAACGTCACATAGTAAGATGACAATTCATCCACGGAAACTATTGTGTACACATACATACACAAGAACAACACACACAGAAACGAAGACACAACATACATGTGTCTGATTAAAAAACATGAAACAATAAATTAACATTCTCTATTATTTAAGTTTTAATAACATTTTTGAATGAAAAAAAAAACAAATGGCTGATAACAAGCAAAAAAGTAATCAAATCAAAAGAGGATAATGCAGTAACGCACCAGAAAACATTCATATCCAAATATGTTTATAATATACAAAACAAAGAGGAGGTAGTTATTTAGAGATATTGCGTTCATTTGACATTATGACATCTCGGAAAGTTCACAATTACAAAACATCTGAAATATTCAATCATCCGCGTGCAACAAGAACGAAAGCAAACAAATAACAGACATACACACGTACAAACAGACAAACAAACAAACGAAGGAACGAACAAAAAACAACAGCACAGAAGGACAATTATTCAAAAATACAATAGCAGCAATGAAAATTGATAACAGCAAGAGCAGGGATGACAGCAATATCATCAATAAATTGTTAATAGATATAGAAAAAAAAATTTGAAGAGATGATGGTATAATGTAAAAACATTCAATAAATAACTTATGAATCATTTACGCAAAGCATCAATTAAATCAACCAGTGGGCTGGCTATCTCAGTTCTAATTACGACAACAGCATGTTAACTTATCAGCCAATTAAGCATTCAGATATATAATAAACATACGGTGAGAAAGAAACGGAAACGCAGTGTTACTGAATAATATTTTTGCTTTTCTCCATTAGGATTTTCTCCATTTTCTCCATTCTCCACTACTCATTAATCAAATCACCCATCGTTCTCTGTGCCAGTCAGTGAGGCTTATTCGACCAACCAACCAACCAGCCAGCCATCACCTTTGACCTCAACCAGGATCAGTCAATCAAATCAATCACATTGTATATACCAACTATTCAATCAATCAGCACACGAACAAAGACATCAAACAAGTCAGGAGCGCTCTCTCTCTTTTTCTCTCTTTCAAATATATATATATATATATATATATATATATATAATATAAATCGTAAAAGTTTTTTGTAATATTATCTTTATGTCATCTATTATTTACGAAATTAATTCCAATAACGTGATACAACGTGTTATTTTTAAAAATTATAGGAGAAAAAGAACTACATAGCAACCAATCTATAGCAGCAAGCTATAACTCGCTCAGACAAACATTTAAACAGATGAACCAAGCGTGAAAATCGTATAGAAAAATGTATATAACATTCCAGTATCCAGTATTCATCCATTGATCCATCCATCCTCATTCACAAAACAGAAGAAACAAATACGAACTATAAAAACACAAAATAAATAAATTAATTAAATTGACAAATGAAAAATCTAACAATTGGAAAAAAAAACATAGCGAAAATAAAAGCCATGATAAAAAGAAGTAAAAATTCATCACCGGTTTGATGTCCAACTTCCCTGCCACCCATGCGTACAAGCAAAATTCAT